CAAGTTTTAGAATGAAATATTGTATTGCTCAAACTGTGTACTTTGTCTGTAAGAGATATTGCAAACTGACAAGGTGTTAGAAATGGAACATATTGTTTTTCACACATGTTTCTTTAAGCAATAACCTCTTACTTACCTTCAGTGCATATTATGTTTACGTCATTTTGTCCCAGCCGAATTACAATAACAATAATGCATAAACAAGCTTCAAGGCTATGCTACGACTCTTTCAGTACATAATATACTGCAGTAACCCTAAGTAGATAAAGATGTTCAGACTTTAAGATGCCATCTTGACCTAAGTCAGGAAAATGGCCATGACGTGTACACCCTTTAGTTATGGCCTTGTATGTTTGCCAAGTTAAGGGAGGTCCTAAAATGAATAAAAGTAAAAGAAGTTATATATGAACTACAGTGACACTAAAATGAAGATACCCAAGGTATAAATAGGTGTACTTTTAAATGTTTAAGGACAGAGGAGAGACTTGGAGACCGACGCGGCTCCATCTTAAAATGACAGAGAGGCTGACACAATGACATGTTCAGGAGGGTATGATAATCTATTATTGATATTTGCAAGCATTTAGTTTAATCTTATAAACTCTGCTATAAATTATTGTAATGGATTTTATATGTCTATATTAATATTTTATATAATAAATATCTAAAAGAAAAAACTTTATTGCTTCCAAGACAATCCTTAATTTATATTGTATTCTCGATTATTTATATATGTTAAATAGAGGATCTCTTACTAACTATATAAAATTATGGCTAAGATATATGTATGGTTAGTCATGCTAAGTTCTATGCTTTAAGACATTATAATGGTAAATAAGTGAACCAGCCGCGGTTACACAGGAAGGAGGGTTTTGGGTTTTTAGAGCACTGGGCCGACTTTGCACTTGGGTACAACCTTTATAGCAGTGATGGGTTGCACCTAAACGGGAGAGGGTCTGCAGTGCTGGGGGATAGGATGGCTAGAAGGTTGGAGGAGATTTTAAACTAGTAATAGGGGGGGAAGGTCATAGCAATCTAGAACATGGAGATAGGACAGAAAGGAGACGGGCTTTAGCTCAGTATAAAGAGGTGGTAATGGGGGTAGGGGCAAGCTCAGAACAGAGAAGGTATGTAATGTTGATAATTCACAAAAAGTACAAGTGACCCATGATATTAAATGGGATATCATTAGGCTCCTACTAATGCAAGGAGCCTAAATAACAAAATGGGGGAACTAGAGGCAATAGCAAACACTAAACAATATGACATAATAGGCATAACTGAAACATGGTGGGATGAGACACATGACTGGGCAGTTAACTTAAATGGGTACATGTTATTTAGGAAGGATAGGAAAAACAAGAAGGGTGGTAGGGTATGTGTGTATGTCAACCATAAGTTAAAGTCAAATCTTCAGCAAGTGGATTGTGATGAAGAAAATGTGGAAGCTTTATGGGTAAATATCTGCTTGGGGGAAAAGAAGGGAAATCAACTATTGGCTGGCATATGTTATAAACCACCTAATGTTAATATTGAAGAGGAACAACAGCTGTTTGAGCAAATTGAGAGAGCTGCAAATCTGGATAAGGCTTTAATTATTGGAGATTTTAATTACCCGGACATAAATTGGGACAGAGGAACTAGCAGCTCAGCAAAGGGAATAAGGTTTTTGAACTTGTTAAATGACAACTTTATGTCACAACTTGTACAAGCACCAACTAGAAGGAATGCTTGTCTAACTAACAACATTGATCTCTTGACTAACATTCAAGTAGGTGAGCATCGGGAAATAGTGATCACAATATAGTGTCCTTTGAAATAAACTCAAAAAAACAAAAGCACATGGGGTATACTAAAACATATAATTTTAAAAAGGCTAATTTCTATAAGTTAAGGGCAGCTTTACAATATATTGACTGGCATAAACTCTTTAGTGAAAAGAACACTGAGGATAAATATATCAACAAATATTAGAAAAGTAAATTTCTCAGTATGTACCATTGAGTAATAAATATAAAAGAAACAAATTGAAACCAATGTGGCTTAGTAGAGAAGTAAAACAAGTGATTAAAAATAAGAAAAGGGCATATAAAGCATTTAAATCAGACAAATCAGATGCATCCTATAAAAGATATAAGGAAGCCAATAATGCGTGCAAAAAGGCGATTAGATTAGCTCTACTTCAAAGCATTCTTTAAGTTACATAAATTCTAAAAAAAACAAAAAATGAAAGTGTAGGTACACTAAAAACTGGAATGGGGGTGTTAGTTAATGAAGACCAGGAAAAGGCAGGAATTTTAAATAACTATTTCTCCTCCGTATATATTAAGGAAGAACCCATGACATTAGATGTGCAAATGATTGCTGCTAAAAACTTGCAGAAAATTTGTAATTGGTTAACTCAAGACAAGGTGCTGCAGCAACTAAAGAAAGTTAATATAAACAAAGCTCCAAAGCTGATGGTATCCATCCACGAGTACTTAAGGAACTAAGTGTAGAAATAAGTGAACCTTGGTTTTGAATCTTTCAAGATTCTTTTCTTTCAGGAAGTGTTCCTGAGGATTGGAGGAAGGCAAATGTGGTTCCTATATTCAAAAAGGGTTCAAAATCCAAACAAATTTAAACCTATTTAGTTTAGAAAAACTTCGCCTGAGAGGGGATATGATAACATTATACACATATATTCGGGGCCAATACAAACCATTATGTGGAAATCTATTCACAAACCGGACTTTACATTTGACACGAGGTCATGCGTTTAGACTGGGAGAAAGAAGATTTCGTCTAAGGCAAAAAAAAAGGTTTTTGTTTTTTTACTGTAAGAACAATAAGGATGTGGAATTCTCTGCCTGAAGAAGTGGCTTTATCAGAGTCCATACAGATGTTCAAACAGCAACTAGTTGCATACTTGCAAAAACAGAATATTCAAGGATATAATTTTTCAATGTAGGGTAATAACGGCTTGATCCAATGATTAATCTGACTGCCATTCTGGGGTCAAGAAGGAATTTTTTTCCTAGCTTGATGCAAAATTGGAAGTGCTTCAAACTGTTTTTTTTTGCCTTCTTTTAGATCAAAAGCAAAAAACTAATGTGAGGAAGGCTGAACTTGATGGACGCAAGTATCTTTTCAGCTATGTAACTATGTCTAGATCTGGTTATGACAAACAATGTTGATCTTTTGACCAACATTCAAGTATGGGAGCATTTGGGAAATAGTGATCACAATATTGTGTGTTTTTTTTAAATAAACTCAAAAATACCAAAAGCACGTGGGGTATACTAAAACGTATAATTGAAAAAAAAGATAATTTCAATAACATTAGGGCATAAATTCCTTAGTGAAAAAAACCCACTGAGGATTAATGGAATATCTTTGAACAAATTTTAGAAATATTAACATTTTAAGTGTTAGTGCTGTGCATAACCAATGTGTAAGCCTAGAATTTGTATTCTTATACATTCATCCCTGTTGTGCCTCAATACAAATACTTTTGCTTTTGTGACGAGACCAATCTCGCCACATTGCATTGGAGAAGCCTGGTTGCTCGCCTGCTGCCTTTGGACTATGGTCCCCTTTTAAAAGACTTTATTTTTGCCTGCAGAAAAGCTTTTCGTGCTTTTCTGCCTGGGGTTCGGTAGATTTGTTTGAATGTGTTATACCCCAGATAGGAATCCCATGGAGCCCATTCATATGAAACTGACTGTAAAGACTTTAGCTCCATGGCGATTAAACTGTATTCGTGTGGTCCGAGCGCCATTCACTTAATAATGTGCGCTCAGACCTGAGCTATCTGGGGATATGTGAAATGTCTGTGTGTTATGTGTAAAATGTGACTTTATGTATTTTAAAGTGTTTTGTGTCTTTTTGCAACCATGTGCTTAATGGAGTCTTGGGTCTGTCCTGGGAGATAATTGAATTACTCTCCAGGATAGAAGACTCTGAAACTGGTTTGGGCCAGAAAGCCATGCTTCATTTAGTCACAAAGGACTTTTTACTAACTTTTGAACCCCTGGTCTGATTCATGCCATTTTTTAATATGTTGTTCCCCTGAATGGATTGATTGTGAATATGTAATTTTATGTGAATGTGATGTATGGTTTTAGAGTTATGAAAGTTTGGTAGAAAGTATGTTTTAACTGTATGTGTAATTGAGTTTCCTCTCAGGATAAGGGGAGGGAATATGTGGGATGTAACTGTGATGTGATTGGTTGTTTTATACCTCCCTGTGGGCGGTCCTGTATTTGCAAGACTGTAATAAAAACCAGGCTGGGTGTGCCAGCACCTCAGACCACTGCTTGACCCTCAACACAGAGCCTTGTCTCGTTCTTGGGGGGATTAACTGTATGCTGTTAGAGACTGATTGCCAGGAGTGTAAGCCGCTTGGGTGCTTTTCCTGTTCGTCTACTAGCAGCTATTTGGGAGGTTCCAGTTCGGGAGTTGGAGTGCTATTTTGTATCCAGTTCAGGAGTTTGGTGTTCTGCAGTAGCTGTGCCTGCATCTCTGGAAAGGGGGCCGATCGCCTAAACGGTTTTTACCCCTTGTGTGCAAAACGGTCCGTTACAGCTTTTAATTAGTTTGTTTCAGAGATAGTGAATCTTGCAGCAGGGAGCACTGGCTTTCGGAGGTCAGCTGGCATGGTCGCATGGCATGCTCGGAGCCACCTAAATTTTGCATTTACTTTCTTGGGAGGATCTGGAGGACAGGCTCATGTCCCCAAGCATTCAGTCCAGCAAAAGATAAATAATGGCATTAAGGAGTGCAGGTAAAAAGCAGGAGACAAGAAGCAGTACAGAGACAGCAGCAAAAAAATAACATCAGCAGGTCTGCTATCAGAAATTATTTATGAGGTAAAAAGGTGATGGTAGGTGGTAAAAGTATGACATTTGCAGTCCCCTCTAAGACCTAAATTATAGTAAAGGTCAGCGATTTCCCAGAATGCCACTGCAATAAAGAGTCGCCAGCAGGTGGGCTGAAGAAAATAGCAAAATATTGATGGTGCAGTTTAGTTAAAAGCCCCTCTCCCAACCTTTGTAATAACAAAGGTTGGGAGAGGGGCTTTTAACTAAACTGCACCATCAATATTTTGCTATTTTCTTCAGAGGACCTGAAGGACATACTCATGTAACCATGCAGGCAATCTGGTAGAGGAGAGGTTAACATTCACTGCATACTACAGCTCCTTGATAAATACACAATGCAACCTCAATACACACACTCACACTGCAGCCCCTAGAATCAATGATGGTGTTGCGATAACACCTGGCTCCGCACCAATAAAATTCTTGCACCAGGGCCCTCTCTTCTTTAGTTCCACCACTGAGCTAATTCCCTATTCCTGGCAGCCATATTCTTTGTCTCAGTCTATCAGTGACCTATCTAAGTATATTGCAATCACTGCTATCAGGATGGTAAATTCTGGTAAATAACTGATGGTAAATTCAATTTGTTTAAAATTACATTGGTGCACATCTCTTGATCTCTGTACCAGCGACAGCTCTGAACAGATCGCAATGATATTCTCCAAGTATTCTGTGGTAATATATTTTTATTCTCTTAAACAAAACAAAGCAAAACAAAAAAGGTATTTTTGTTTAGATTTAAGATTCAGTTCAGACAGAAGAGACACATTGTATTACCTGCACGATTCAGAGTTTAGGTAGTATATCAGATGAACAGACCAAAGCAAAGGACCGCTGTACGTCACAAATGCTGTAAGGAAAACCGCCGGTACTTCAATATAGTTATCCAGACCAACAAAACCTGCTGAAATATCCACAGTAGTGATAGTATTTGAATTACCCTAAGAATGAAAAAGAAAATTAGAATGGCTAAATGTAATGCACACAATTTATATGTCCACATTTTACATGTTAAATGCAGCCATAATAACTGCTGAAATAAGGGTTTTCCTTTAACATTAAGATACAAAGTAAATAAAACACACAGTGATTAAAACTATGGTCAAAAGGGAAAATGGATATATGTAAATATACTTAAAAGAACATTACAAGCACCATAACTACTTCAGCTCAATCTAAGTGCCCTGGCTCTTACCTACGTTAAGTAGGCAATACACTTGAGAATGGTTTGACAACTTCCCCGAACGCGTTGCTGCCTCCTACGTAATAGGAAGCTCTTCCTAGGAGCTTCTGTTTGCTGCACGGAACAAAGCCCTTTTGTGCAGATCTGACTCATTGGCTGAGAGCAAAAGCTGAGAGATCAGCTTCCTGACTGTGAGGATGTTTATGGGGTAATAAATATTAAAAATATTTTATAAAAATTATAAGGAGATAAGTGACAGGGAGGCTGCCTGTGAAGATTTGATGCACAGCTCTACTTTACTCCAGATTTATTTGGATAAGGATTTAAACGTAAACAGCTAAAAAGAAGATTGGAGGAATACAAAGTTGAAAAGAGGAATTTCACTGAAGCGGGAGCTGTCAGTAAGGTATGAATCATTACTGAATACTGAATCTTGCTGAACGCTTGAAACTGCAAAAAAAAAAAAATCAGGTACACATGAATTGTATTATTTTTTAGTTAAATTGTGGAAGTAAAACAAAGTGAATGACTTTCTGCAAGTGTTTAAAGATATTAAGTAAACATGCCTGAACTCAAAAAGAAGAATATCTGCAGATATATTCTGTTAAAAAAAAGATATACTAAGGCATTAAAATTAAGATAATAAATTAAAAACAAATCCAAAGAAAACAACCATAATATTGACTTTGTTGTACTAAGTACATAGAGCTGTAACTACATTAATGAAAAGAGGGGGAAAAAAACAGAAGAGAAAAATCTAAAAGAAAAAAAGGGGTTAAAATGGCTTCTAAAAGAGTGCAAGAAAGTAAATGGAGTGGAAAAAATCTGAAAAAAGGACAAAAACAAGAAAAACGGCTTTTCATCCTTTTTCTCCATACATGACCCTGAATAATGGAGAAAAAACAGTGCAGATACATCCCTGTCACTATCTAAAAATATACAGCCTCACGCAGCAGAAAGTGACACGGTCTCCCCAAGCTTCCTAAAAGAATGCCTTGATATAGTGTTAAATAAAAAAATAATTTCTCTAACAGAATAGGATGGAATTTAAAATAATGCAGTTAGAAGAAAAAATAAGTGACCTCGAAGATAGATCAAGGAGAGAAAACTTAAGATTGCGGAAAATACCAGAAGACATTGCTGCGGAATCTGTTGGCGCTATATAAATGGCAATACCAATAATAATCGAAGATAGTAAATTAAAAGATTTCTTAAAATAACACTTCCGTTGCCTAGAATTGCCAAACGACAATCATGACCAGAAAATGGATAGATGTCATAGACTTTCATGTAATAGAACAACACCAGATCATCTATCACGTGACAACAAATGGAGAGTTATTCAGGAGTTTAAGAGAAGGTGTTCATTGGAAGATAAATTTAAGGACTTAAAAATATTGCCAGGTGTCTCTTACCATACACATGCAAAGAAGAGATCCTTTTAAAGAGACACTAAAGTCACCTGAACAACTTTAGCTTAAAGGATATCAAACAGGAATAGGCTATAATATAGGCTTTAATAAAAGAGACATATCAAGCAAATATGATTATACACATGTATAAAATTACAACTAAAATTATAAATATCCCAACCATGGTATGTGATAGAGTCTAAAAAAGCAGAAATAGATAATGTATCATCCATTTTATGGTGTGACATAGGCAAGTTCAAATTTTCAGTATCAAATAATAACTCCCTCATTATTCAACAAACCATGAGTCATTGGTATAATACTTAAAAAAAAACTTTCATATTTCTAATAAAATCTATGAAGAAACCTATATCGGTACTATTGAAGTAATTATTCCTGATATCAACTTGAGGAAATGGCAAAGTCAGAATGTTTTAGCAATCAAAGATCTATATGAGGACTCTCGGTTATTCTCTTTTGATGAACTAAAAACAAAGTTTTATTTACCAAATAATGAATTGTTTAACTATATTCAAATACATAATTTTTTTAAAAAGAACATGTTATGCATGCAAATAGTGAAATAGGCAATTTATTAAGTAAAATATTTAAAGGATATGGAATTAAGACAATTTATTCAAAAGCAAAAAAGTTAGTTAAAAATTAAATAACACTTGAGATCCCCATACCTTTTAAAAAAAATGGGAAAAGGACTGTCAGATATTTACACAGTTTAAGGATTGGGGATCAGCCTTTATAAAACTGAAAAAAATCATTACATTGTCTAAATTTTTTAGAAACACAAGTCAAAATTTTAAATAGATGGTATCTAGTTCCTACTAGATTAACCAGGGTCTCTCAGACTAATCTCGCTACATGTTGGAGATGTATACAATCAGAGGGTAATATGGAACATATTTGGTGGAATTGCCCATGAATTATAAAATTATGGAACTATACTTTGATACAGTTACAGATTTAACTGGTATAACATTAGATAAGAAACCAGAAGTAGCATTGCTACTTTTAAATTGCCAGCAACAGTTTTTGTTTTATGGCAACTAAAGTCCTTATTGCCAGACACTGGAAACTAGTAGAAGTCCCATCTAAAGATCATTTTATAAATCAACTTCTTTATCAGCTCGGTATGGAGAAAGGGATCAATATATTAAACCCAAGAACAAACCGTAAACAGACAGCGAAATATGATTATATAAATTTGGTTAAGAACTACCATAATAGATTGCCTGCCAGATTAAATTTAGATCCATAAGCACATGATAAACAAGGAATGGTGTTGCCACAGCCTTGACGTCTAATTTAAAGGGACAGCTAAAGATAAAAATGTTCTATATTTATAACATGATAAATACAACCTTTTGTAGCATGAATGTATTTGTTGTAAGATACACGTTTGTATTTAATGTACTACTCTTATGTACATTATTTATAGGAAAACAAAGAATACATTTTTTTTTATCAAAAGCCATTTTAATCAATTTTATTAATATCAAAAATGTATATTTTGGTACTGCTTTCCCTTCATTGATTTAAAGCGAAGAGTTGCTTACTATTTTAACTCTTATAGACCCTGGAGTATGTTTATTAGAGTATTTGATTTTCACGCAATCACAACAGATTATAAAAATATAATTTATCGTGACAAATCATTCATAATAATAACATTAATAATGTCACAATAATTTTTTTTTTTTTATAATCGGATGCATGATAATATCAGTGAAAATTTAGGTATATCAATAAGTATAAGAATATAGCAACAGTTAAGACACAATAACCACAATTAAAAATAGCTTAATAGCAGCATATCAAGCAACATGAGTCAGATTAACTTCTAAAGGAGTTACATGCAAAATTACAAATAATTCCTCAACAATTTAATTAACAGTTATTTCAACATAGATGCATTTCAACAACGCTACAGGATTCTTTCAGTTTTAGAATTCCTTCATAACAAAGAGCGTTAGCAGCATAGTTCAAAGTCAGTTTGATGCTGACAGTTTGCTAGAATCACACAAAGGATTAACTAACTCACTGCTGGCTACATTTCTCACAGGCTAAACACTTTAATATTGCAACTAAAAAGGTACAATGTTTCTCACACAAATAGTCAAGTTAACTATTTTCTTTTTCATCCAGTAACCAAAAAAGAATAATTCTAAGAATGTTTTTACACTGAAGATACTTTCTAATTAAATATTAATTATCTCACATCATACATAATTCTTATTCCAGCTGCAGAATAGACTTCAAATGATATTTAATTTCCTCAGCTAAGTATGATTTCAAAAGTTTTAAATCTGGTCAGCATTATTCAGATATATTTCTGCTTTTATTAAAAATATATTAATTTATATTAAACCAGCATATTTACCAGCTTTCTAGGTAGAAAATTTTAGGTTTGACCTTGAATCTCTATCTTCTTTTTTTGTCTACCTCCTTTGTCCCCAATTTTAAAGAATTTTTTATCTTAAGTATCTGTACATCACTAACTTAAAGTGACCAATGAGATTAGGTGGGTGTACCTTCTTCTACTGATTTTCTGCAAATTATGTAAAAAGAATACCCACGGACAATATATTAAGGTCGTATCATCA